GGGCGCGCACGGGCGCGGATCCTGCGCGCCGCAGAAACCCCGCGCCGCCCGCCCGCGGAAACCCGCCGCCGCATTAATATTGGAGTAGGCAATAATTTGGAGCCGGCAATCTGGAGCCGGCCTCATGAATAATTCCCAGCGAGTTCTATTAGGATTTCTGAAACATCTCGTTTTTGACAACTTCGGGGCGTTTAATAGAAGCGGAGGAACCATAACGGCCCCGCAGGAGTTTTCGCAATCCAGCAATTAATCACCGCGCAAGTTAACGGGAAAAACACGGGAATTCTGCTTAATAAACGCCAACCTCCGATCGCAATTTTGCCCTGAACCTGCCTCTCTGATGTAGGTCAGTTACACTCAGAATTTAACCATTTTCTGCTTCACAGACTTCAAACAGTGAGGCCGTTAAAGAGCAGTAAAAGTTTGTTTACTTAGGAAAAAACACTGTCATTAAGGGGTATCTCTCCTGCCTAATGGCTGTACCTGTTCCGAGCCGGCGCAGAGCTGGCTCGGAGGCTCTTTGAGTGACCCGGGGATGCTCCTCTCTTCTCTAAAAAGCAGCTGAGGACATGGCAGAGAAGCAGCGCTTTGCTATTGCATCCCCCTACGCTCAGAAGAACTGCTCATAGAGCAATGGAAAAATAATTAGGTGACGAGTGATGGTTACTGTAAAAATTCTGTGCTATGTTTAGACGATAGCGGTACGCATTTAGTATATATGCCATGCATATTATATCACGTCGCGTTATATCATAAAACTGCAACTCCTCTAAGGTCAGGCCATATATCGAGCATGGGGGAAGGGAGTTTTATGAACTGAAGGGTGAAAAAAAATCACTTGGCTGTAAGCAGATCTTACAATAGGATTATGTAGTTTCCTTAGCAGTGCATAAGGCTGTAGAGGAGGAGGTGGGAGGTGGAAAAACCTACACTGGAACAGATTATTTTTTCCAAAAAGAGCTTATTTCTTTTCTTAAAAAAAAAAAAAAAAAAAAAGCCAGCGCTACAGACTACAAACACCGGCTGCTAAACTAATTAATAAAGCTTCACAAACTGCTCCTGGAAGTGTGAAAACTTTCTACGTGCAATTTCATTAATTATAAATGCTTTCCTGGCCGGAAGAATTCAAACATAGTTTTGCAAGATCGTCCATCGAGTTGCTAGAACAAACAGATGTTTCTGACACATGTCCCAGTTTCGCTTAAGAGTTCTGCAAATAATATTTCAAAATGTACAGGCGAAGCCATACTGGCTTTTCTTTTATTTTTCTTCCCCCTCCCCGCTTTTTTTTTTCTTCCCGAGTACCCAAACTCTCAAACGCCTGTATTGCGAATGCACAGAGTGGTTGGATGGCAATGCTCATTAAAAATGTCACTGTTATTCAGATCAAACATTTGAAACTCCCTCTGACCAAAACAAAACTGTTGAACGAAAGGTCGCAGCTGTGTTATTCTCACAATGTTAGAACAGCAGCATCTAAGCGACATCAGTCAAAACTGACTAGACAAGTTGTAACTTCTATTGTTCACTTTTAATTTGTGAGCTTGCACAATGATTTCATTTTTTCTCCAACTATTTTAAATTGCCCCCCAAAAAACCATTTGCCTCTGTGAATAAGCAGAAATAGTAGCTATATCTCTCGATATTTACACAGATCTACCCGAACAAACATTATAACAGCCTCCTCGCAGAAACAGGAAAAAATATGGATGTGAATTCTAAGATTTGTTCTCGCTCTCCTTTTTTTTTCTCTTTTCTTATCTCTCCTCCTCCCCGCACCCGCAAATGGCAAAGAAGCAAACAAATCTGAGAATTTATTTTCCAGAAGTACTTCGCTTGCATTCAATAACAACGCAAAGGATACATTAAAAACAAAACAAAGCAAAACAGTATGCTGAGTAATACAGAGAGAGAGTAAAGAGCTTTACATACTGACCTGTATGAGTTCTTTTGTGTATTTTGAGATTCTCTGATCTGGCAAACACTTTGCCACAGCCTGGGAAGGGGCAGGGGAAAGGCTTTTCACCTGTGTGGACTCTGATGTGATTTACAAGTTTATATTTGGCCTTGAAAGGCTTCCCTTCTCTCGGACACTCTTCCCAGAAACATATGTGATTGGACTGCTCGGGTCCTCCAACGTGCTCCACCGTGACATGAGTCACCAGCTCGTGCATCGTGCTGAAAGTTTTCGAGCATATTTTTTTGGGAGTCTGGTCCAACTCAATCCACTTACAGATGAGTTCCTGTTTGATGGGCTGCCTCATGTAACGGAAGAAGGCCCCCGGGCCGTGGTGTGAAGCCAGGTTCATGTTCAGATTCATGGCACCGTAGCTATGAAGCGAAGAAGCAGCAAAAGGATCTGTCCTGGAGGCTGGTACTTGAGTGAAATGTTCAGACCTGGCGTACATTTCTCCAGGTAACCCCAGTCTTATCTGTCCGTTTAGATGGCCACCTGGAGCTGCATGGGAAGGCTGCTCATGGAGTCCAGTAAACAAAGAGGGATTCCCGGCTTCTGAGTGGTGGTGGTGACCATGGTGTCCGGGGCAGCTACCTGTTGTTGAGACAAACAGTCCGTGGTGAGAACGTGCAGCGGGGAGCTGCTCGGTCAGCCCTGGCATGCCTGGGGCTCTGCGCATGAAAAAGTCCCTACCTGCTGCAAGAGCCTGAGCTGGGTGAGAGACGGGGTAAGGGGCTGCTGTTGACTGCGCTGGGCCAAACGCTCCTGTTTGACTAGAGACCACCTCGGCTGGGCCTGCCATATGATCATGATGATGATG